CTGATAAAAAAACATTGTAATGCTTGCGTCTTGGTAAAAAGATAAGAAAGAATTGTTAATCAGAAAGAATTCTTACATGTCACTTTTAAAAGCCTTCATTTTTCCGCTCCGTGTTTCATGGTTATTTTTCACTTCCATTAAGCCAGTTCATTTACTTGCACTTCATTACTGCTTCTTTCGTACTTACTCAATTAATTCTCCATTCATTCATTAATCAACCTTATCACTAAATCATTCGGTCATTCATTTATCATGATTTTTCCAGCTATTCTCGGGAACTGAATCTAAAGCAGACGTAGAACCGGCAATATTCACTATTTCATTTACTCGTACTTCATTTGTTATTCKTTCTTTTTTCATTATTTCTCCATTCGTCAATTTATTAATTTAATCATTCGCTCATTCGTCGTTTCTTAATCATTTTGAATCATGCTGAATCTGAAGCAGAAGTAATGTAGAACCAATATTCACCCAAAATATAAAATTAAAAATATACAAAATATATACAAAATATAAAATTTCATAGACTAAATTTACCAGACATCGTATACTGATTCCACAAAAATGGAAGAAAAAGATTTTGTTTTACTGTATCCACAAGATGCTAGTCAGTATAAAATGATTGTTATGTAATTAAATCATTGTCCGCCATGTTTCTAATCGGTCCTATAGCAAGCTTTCAGGACCCCATGCACTTTCTGTTGATGATTAAGATCGACAATCTCATAGACGGATTCGAAAGAAATGACAAAAAGCTTTTGTTTTTCTGTATGCACAAGATTCTAGTCAATATAGAACGATTGTTACTGCAAATTGTCCGTCATTTTCAAATAGATCCCAATTCTGTTGATGAGTAAGATTAACAATCTCAATATGACTTCTATATTATATAATTCGTCCTCAGACAAAATAAACCGCAGTAAAAATGATATCTTTTAAAAAAATACGAAAGTTTAAACTATAGTAAAAGGGAGAGCAAACTTTATCTTCGGTTTACTGACGATGAATCAGCGCTCAGAAGGTATTAAAGTCGAGATAAAAGAGAAATATCTGATCACCCGACTCAACTTCAAAAGAAAACCGGGACACCTGGAACWTTGTCGAATCGATCATCAAACACATTAATTTTTGTGTAGCAAACGCCTTCGACCTTTAACAAACATGTTATTGATTCACCATGCAACAACAACCAACACTCAAACAAGGTGGCCCTCGGTCGGAAATGTTGTGTTAAGTTTCTGATGAATATCTTCGCGATATAAATAAATAGATAGATAGTATTTTGCAGATAACATCGCTTTAATCAAATCCTAATAAACTTGAAAAATAATAAATAATGTCTTATAACGAGAAGATTATAGTTTAAAAGCGTTTTGAGGTATATAAGCATTTCTACATGTTCTACCGTCTGAATTAAGCCCTGGGCTGTCTTTGAAACTTTTCGGAAAAATTCGTCGGGAAATACATAACCCTGTTTCTAAAAGAGTCACTTGGCGATGCGTAGTCGTTTACATGAACTATGTGCGTGTATGGTTGGGACTGAGAAGTGAAAAAATGGAGGAAAAATAGGAATAAAACGGGAATTCGGGCGTTGGAATTATTAGCGCTAAATTGATGAAACAACTCAAATCAAACGATCGCTCATGACAAACATAAATTGAAAACTGAGAAGTGAAAAGCGGAGGAAACTAAATGATAAACACTCTAAAACACAGAGAAATCGATACCGCTTAGCTCTGAACGCCTCGTTTGACAAAAAACATACAATTTAATATCATATAAACTTCTCAGATTATCATTTAACCCACTAAGCTTGAAAGCCGCAGTAGGGGGATAAGGGCAATTTCTTTAAATCTTGAATTAAGATGATATAAAAAGCGTTTTGAAGTGTTTTGGATTGCGTCGGGTGAACTTCAAACGTTAAGCTAGCGAAGCTAAGTGATCATTTTKAAGTCTTGCTTTCTCGTTATAGTGTTTTGAACAAGACAATTTGGGTTTGCTAGTGAGAAGCCTGCTGGGAGCTGGGAGAATGGGATTACAAAAAGGAGGAATGAGAATTAAAAAGCTAGTAAACAAGCGCCCTTCACTTATCTTCCCTCGAGGGAGTGAAGCAAAAAACAAAAACGCAAAAATTTCCTAWTCTTAACTTCGACATTTAACGATTTTAAAGTTCTTGTATTAGTTGCTGGACATGCAACAAAGCCTAATTTTAGCAAAACAACGATAGCTTTATGTTCTAGCTTGGATTGGAGCCTTCAAAAATTAAACTTCAGCCTAGGTCTTTATTACAGTCGAGCGAGCTAATGTTTCTAGGCAACCCGATCGATGGGAATTTTAAGTGTCAGAGCAGAATCCACGGAATCTGAATTGCAAATTTTTCGAACGGAAGAAAATGAACATTCAATGTAAACACCTATCGAAATATTTGCTACACAGAAAAAATAAAAACCTCCAAATGCGCAATTTTGTAGGAAAAAGTGGGATGAATTGATCAAATTCAAAGTGGGGAATCAAATGCATTACATTTCGAGTCTCACCCAAGATTCATCTTAACGAAATGTTTTCAATAAACATGCAAAGATCATTTTCCCTAGATTTTCAATGTAAATAAAACAATTTGAGTGATAAACGACAAGTTTCGAGTTGAAAGCTCACCAAGAATTGTGTTATGGGATATTTTTCCTTAAAWATCAACCCTGCTYAGGCTATATCCCTTCCTAAAACTCAAAAATCTTAAAATCAATGTCTAGCCATTTTGCGCGATGAGTGTAACGTTAAACATGACATTCGAGCTAAAAAATATTTTTTCTACAAAATGGATGAAAAATGTAACTGTTTTGAAGAGTTATTGCAATTTTAGAATTAAATTTGTCCGAGTATAGACACAATGCTTATTGTTATTTTTCTTTCCACACGGGCCTCGGTAAAAGATCAACAACAAAAAACTTTGATTGATGAGAAACCTTACATTGTGTGCTAGAAGGAACTATTTCCACAATAAATGATATTTATGGGAACGAACTTACTTTTATTTGGCTTTTTGAGGTGAACCAAGAGCAGGKTTTTCAGCCATTTGAAACAGCAGAGAGGCGCTTCGATCGTGCAGTGAGCTGGCTGGCGCTTCTCTTGAGCTCGCTCGCTAGCTTCCTTTTCAAATCAGCCTTTCTGTCATCGMGAATAATCCATTACTGCAAGTTTGAGTCACCTAGCTGCACATTCGGAGACACGAGCTTTGTTATAAAGGATTTTAAGTGAAATTAAAAGAGCAAGAAACGGCACGGTGCCTCGCGAGTCCACCGAATGATGAATATTCATTTAAACTTTGGATGGAGATTGGGGCAGGGCAGCATAGCCTTGCTAGTATGCAAATGATCGTCGTAGGACAAATAATATTAACATATTATTAAATTTCAATTAACTCATTTATAATTACAACAAAATTMTAAAATAACATTCAACATTATGTTATAAGGTAATGTTACAGTACCAACTAGTTTAAGGTATTTCGTGTTTACTATAACAAAAAACGTTGTCGACATACATAAATAATTACACAATTAAGTAATAAACATCCGCTATCGTTAAATAACATCACAAAATTACGGAAAGGATATAATTATAAGGAATTAAAACAATGACGTTGATGAAATCTTTCAAGAACTTYTAAATAAAAGGTAGTGAATCTAGACAAAAAGACCAAAAGGGGACCGACCGGTTTTGACTGAAAATTTTTACTCTTAAGTCCAAAGTGATTCATTAAAAAGACAAAAGCAGTCAATCAATTAAAAGCGAACTCCTCTCTCTTGATGTTTTTTGTTTTAATTTTTCTCGGTAAAAATAATTACTAACGCTCTTTCTCCCTGAGTGTTCGACCGGCCTTCCGTGGTTTCTTGAAACCATGGTAATTTTGACGTTGTTTTCGGCAGTATAAGACTTATATAATTTTAGATTGGCAATTTTAATTTTAATGTTTTTGTTTTTTATTTTTTGTTGTTGCTGTTTTTGTTTGTTTTGTTTGTTTTGAACTTCTTCCTTTTTAAGAAATTCAATTACAATTTTATTACAAAAACTATATATCGACCCTTTCTCAGTATCGAGAACCATCAAGGTTTCATAACTGCTGTCTCTGAAACCACTACTTCACATGCTCCGAATTCAATGCGGTAGGATCGATAGTTATATTCTAGGTTTTTCAATATATTGCCGCCATGTTGATTCAATGAAAATATGACAATTAAAGCATGATTCCTAATCAACTTCCCTCGTTCTTTCATCCAACATGGCGTGGGATCTGCATTCGTTATTTTCCCAGGGGCCCATCTATTGTAATCCAAAGAGCACTGAGAAACGAAAGATTAGAAAATTTAGCACATGAGTAATTATGCATGCAAAAAAACCGTCCTTGGTTTATTTCTCATAGCACTGCCACTTGTATTAGTTTAAAAATTGCCATCATTCAAAYTTTTGACGCGCTTTGACATTAAAATAGAAAACACTTAACAAGTAACAACAAGCCGTAGCCCTGATAACAAGGGGGTTCGAATCCCAGCGAGGTCGGAAATTAATTTTTCCGAATTTATTCCTAAGAGTCTTTCTCCCGGAATTGTCTTCTTCTAAGCACTATAACTTTCTTTCATTTATATATCCTGATAACAAGGGTCGATAGTCAACAGCGCCACGTATCGCTTTTGTAAAGTCTTTTATTTCCTTGAGGAAGTTTATCTGGAATGTATTTGGATTAGGACGCAAGTTCTGAAACGGTAAATACAACGTCATTTCATTCGTCTAGGGTCCCGATAGAACACCCGCTGATCGGGATAAAAGTTACTTGCGGGCTCACGCACATCGTTGCCACCTGAGATCGTGGGTGGAAAGCTTTAGTGACATTTTTTGACAGCAACTGCGTGGGCACACTGTCATTTTGTCTATAAGATGTAATGGTTTTACACGATTTTAATTGCTAATATTCGCATTCCTAATCATGATATCTTGTTGCCTTAGATAACCAATGGATTTAGTTCAAAGAACATTTATTTTTATATTTTCAGCTAAATTTAGCCCTTTATAATATAGTTGAATAAAATAGTGCAATTTGATTGGCTTAAAGGAGTGTTATTTATACTTTTTAGTGGTATTTCAAATTGCAAAATTTTATTCAACCATTTTATAGACGTGGGATAAATATACCATTCGAGATATTATAAAATTTTTGTGTCACAAATTTATGCACTCGTTTCGCCCGCGAATTTTTGTTTGWCAATTTTGAAGTATCACGCGTGGTATTTATTCCAAATACCGCTACAAAACATGCTATATGCTGGGGTTTCATTTTGTTTGTTTGTTTTGTTTTATTTTATTTT